TGCCTATAGAGTAGCTTCACTCTTAAGTGCTGGGTAAAGAGGGCCAATCCAACAAAGAAGACTGAAAATGTCCAGAAGAGGAGAAAAACCTGGCATATATGGTATTGCTGAAGATCAGAGGAAGGTGTTTCAAGAAAAAGTGGTCCACTGTGACCAAGTAGTGAAAAAGATAACCTAAAATGAGGAGTGAAAAATAAACCTCTGACTTAGTGACCTGTTGAGAATCACTTTGGTGAAATGACAAAGTAGGTTTCAGACTGGAGCTAACTGAGAAGAAGGTGGAAGGGAGACATAATATAAATAGCATTAGCAAGTTTAGCTCTAAAGAAAAAAAAAAAAAGCACAGTGAGAAGGAAGGGGTGTGATGTTGAGGGAGAATTTTGTTAAAAGCAAGTTATGTGTTGCCTGGACTCAGCGGTTGAGCATCCACTCATGAACCAAGAGGTCACTTGCCCATGCCCAGGTTTCGGGCTCAACCCTCCAGTAGGGGGTGTGTAGGAGGGAGCTGGATCCATGTTTCTACCTTTCTATCCCTCTCCCTTATTCTCTCTCTCTCTAAAAAAATAAATAAAAAGAAAAAAGGCAAGCGTGTGTAAATATTAATAAAAAGGAATAGGTAGAGGGGAAGAAGTTGAAGATTCATGACAGAAAGGGTATGCATTATTTGAATAGGTAGGAGAGGATCTGACCCAGAGCACATGTGGCAGGATAGCTCAGTCAGAAGGGGCACCTAATCTACTCTAAGAAGAGGAAGGAAGGAAAGGAACCATGAAGATACACATGCATTTGGAAAGTTGGTCACAGTATGTGCAGACAGCTGCTCTCTGGTAGCTTCAATCTTCTTTGTGAAAGAGAAAGCAAGGTCATCTGAAAGACTGAACGGCTGGCTTAATTTTTATTCCCAGCATGAAATCCAGTGCCTTGGATTCTTAATACATGTATTTAATAAATAAAAGCAAACAATTTCCTCAATTCAGTTGCTCATTAGAATCAATACTCAACTTTCTCCAAACTAGCCACTAGGGGGCATTACTGCTGCCAATCTGAAGCTATATCTTTTAACACCATGAAATAGAAAATTACAGAGCAGTGTATGTCATAATATGTATTTTAAAAAAATATATATTTCATTGATTTTTTTACAGAGAGGAAGAGAGAGAGATAGAGAGCTAGAAACGTCAATGAGAGAGAAACATCGACTGGCTACCTCTTGCACACCCCCAACCGGGGATGTGCCCACAACCAACGCACATGCCCCTGACCAGAATCGAACCTGGGACCTTTCAGTCCACAGACCGACGCTCTACCACTGAGCCAAACCGGTTTCGGCTGTATTTATTTTTTTATTTTTATTTTTTTACAGTGTGAAACAGTTATATTTATAGTTGGCCAGCTGGGCTCAGTTTAGATGATCCCAATTATGTTGGCAACACCCACAGCATCACAGGAGCCAGCGGAGCATCAGGCCTGACGAGGGTGTTGACCTTGGCCACGTCAATGTCATAGGACTTCTTCACAGCCTGTTTGATCTGATGCTTGTTGGGCTTGGCATGCACAGTGAACACAAGTGTATTGTTGTCTTCTGTCTTCTTCATGGCTGACTCAGTAGTCCGGGGGGAACCTGATGATGGCATAGTGGTCGAGCTTGTTTCTCCCTGGGGCGATCTTCCAAGAATATCCGGGCTGCCTTCAGAGAGAGCCCCAGTGTGCTGGACACAGGAAGGTGGGTGATGTGCGGATCTTCTTTGTGTGTGTGTGTGTGTGTGTGGGGGGGGGGTTATGGACGCTTTTCAGCACTGCTCTGTCTTCAAAGCCTTTGGATTGGCTTTGGGAAGGGCATACACACACTGCAGCAGAATGGAAGGGCTAGTCTTCCTACCACTGCAATCAAATCATGATGCCCAGAGGTAATACTCACCATTTTGCAGAGGTCACTTTTAGTAATTGCTCCAGGGCACATAGAAATAATGAACAGACCTTTTGTACTTTCCTATGATTAATAAGCTATAAAAGGTGGATGAAGAAAATCCCTAAAGCTAATCCTCGGTAACAAGGATTTGTTGGATTAAATTTAAATAGCTGTGATCTATTTTATAAGCTGCTTTTTCCATTATTTGAGATGCTTGATAACATTCGTACAATGTAGAGTTATCAATCTATAATTATTGATAACTATGACTATTATATATACACTAAAATAATATTTTGGTGTATGTGGTTAGCAATGGGGCTGGAACATACTTCTTTCCTCGTTCGGTTCTAACAAATGTGGGCCTCTAAACAAACAGAGGGAACTGGCAGAATTTAAATTTAAAACAGGGTGCAAAATGTTCAATACCCCAGAAGAAAAGATGTAAAAGCAGACAATTTGTTCCTCGAGAGCTCAGGATTACACAGATCAGTTAAGTTTTAACAAGGGATCTGGACTTCCCACAGTAGGGGAGACTTCCAGTCATACCAATGGAACACATCACTCCGTAGCCTAAGGAAAGTTGTTGGTTTCATTAGATGCCTATAGGCTGCAGCTGTGGGGAAGATGGGACGGAGGCTCAAGGCATTGTATGAATGCAGATAGTCAAGTATGCAGAGGCATACTTCAGAGATAATGTAGATTTTGGTTGCAGATCACCACAATAAAGCAAGTACCTCAATAAAGTGAGTTTCACAATAAAGTCAGATATAATCTTTTTGCTGGTGGGGGATCTTGCCATTTGTAAAAAATGCAATACCTGTGTGGTGCAACAAAGCGAAGCGCAAAACATCAAATGAGTGGGAAAGGTGCTTAACCCCAAAGCCTCCAACTTGGTTTTTTGAACTAAAGTTATTTTCTGGGGGGGAACAAGCATACTCTATAAGTGGGTCATAGAGTCTGGGTGACAGAGTTGAAGCAGTCACAGTCAAATATAGATACAGTATCAAATTGTTTGCAAATTGTTTCAAAAACAAAGTTTCAAGGTTCTGGAGGTTAGTGTTCTATCTGACAACCACTGGATACTCTATTCCATTAGCTGGTTTGGTATTCCACTTACATCACTAGTTTTCAGAAGCTCTATGGGGCCAGACTTTTGGGTTTTTGGGTTTTTTTAATTAAAAAAATATTTTTATTGATTTCTTACAGAGAGGAAAGGAGAAAGATAGAGAGCTAGAAACGTCGACCATCTGCCTCTTGCACATCACCTACCGGGGATGTGCCCACAACCAAGGTACATGCCCTTGACCGGAATCAAACCCGGGACCTTTCAGTCCACAGACCGATGCTCTACCACTGAGCCAAACTGGTTTCGGTCAGACTTTTGGTTTTTTATATTTATGAAAACATTAATAGCCTTGTGCTCTTCCTTAACCTAATATAAAAACCTGGTCTAATGAACTGATATACCACTTTGAAGAACAGAAGAGTTTCTTTCTCAGTAATTATCATTCTTTGGCTACATGGACATCCCTGAAAATGAGCTTTAAAACGTAGATGAACACTTCCTTGCCACATCCCTACTGTATTTTAACTATATTAGCATGTCCTCTTTCAAAAGTCCTGTGCTAAATCTTTAGAATTTCCCCTCCAGCAAATGATCTACATAAGGGCCTGATTTCATTTACATACACACACAGTTGCACTCACCACCACCAACACTTCCTTAAAAACACACACACAGAAGGTCACTTCCTCAATCCAGAGGCCAGAAGTCCTCTGGTTCTGATCTGGGGAGCCAAGACAGGAAACTCTGGCGAGCTTCTGCCTCCTGCCCCCCCCCACCCTCCCACCCCAGCACTGGTGTAGCTGACAGGGGGCAGGGTCTAGTCAGAGCTCGCTTGATGCACTGCTGCTGGAAGGCAGCACTCCCTTCGCTGCCGCTGCGGGAAGGATCCCCGAGTCTCGCCCTGGGAGTCCATGTAACAAGGGCATTTCACAGGGGATAGCTGAAGACCTTGACACCTTTGAGCAACCTTACTTCTAATTCCAAACTCCTGCGCATAGCCCAGGGCTGATTTCTGCCAAAATCTCAGTAATTGGCACCAGCTTCTACTTTGACCCCCACCAGGCAAGTCATCTTTCTAGTTTGGGGGTGGGGTGAGAAGCCAGACCTTCTCACCACTCAACCCCAGACTGGACCAGGTTCCCCCTGAGGTTGCCAGTTTCTCAACTAGAAAGGGAGAAGTCCCAATATTGTCTGTAAACACTCGGTCAGCAGCACCACCTGGCAACTGAGAAGCAGTATCTCCCCCCCTCCCCCCCCCATCCCGGGACCGCACGACAGAAAACCAGGGTCCTTGGAGCAAACCAAATTGCAGTGTCACCGCCGAGGGCCGGGTTGGGGGGATGTATGTGAGGGGCACACAGGATAAAGGGACAGAGGGGGACAAACAAATGAGCCCCTTCAATACACGGGCTACACATGTGAGGGAGAGAGAGGCTTTGGGCTGGAAGGAGCTGGCGGCCCTCGGAGGGGCGGGCAGAGAAAGGGAAGGGGAAAGGGGTGTGCGGGGCCTCGCCCTTGGTGGGGCCGCCAGCCCGGGCCCTGGAGCCTAGGCCCCCCTTCCCCCGCCACTCCCCCACCTCGCACCCCAATCCTGCAGGCGGAAGCCGCTCGGGGCTCCTAGCGTCCCCCAACCCCGGGAGCCAACTCCGTCGCTGTCCGAAAACCACCGACACAAACTTCCATTCTGTGTGTAGCTGACAGGAAGGCTGGCTGCCCAGGAGGCGCCGCCGCCGCGCCCGCCGGGAGCGCACCGCAGCCGCAGCCTCAGCCTCCACCTGCCGGCGCGCCCGCCCGGCCGCCCCGCCCCGCGCTCGCGGCGCACCTGTGACAGGTGTGCGGGCACCCCCCCCCCCACGCCACACCCGAGTCGCGGGGCGCGCCGGCCGCCCCTCGTCCCCAGGAGGCCGGAAGCCCACCCTCCCCGACCGCGCGGTCCTTCCCGGACCCCCGGACCCTCGGCAGGCCCCGCGCCGCGCCCCCGGCCCGCGCCCTCCGGGCCGCACCGCTCCCGCCCGCACTCACATAGCGCCTCAACTTCTTCTCGGGGGGCGACTTCCGCAGCCAGCCGGTGCACACCACGTCGCCGCCGCCGCTCATGCTGCCGGCGCCGGGAGCCCGCCGCAGGGTCCGAGGGATGAGGGCGCGGGCGCGAGTCCCCGGGGCGGGCGGCGGGCGGCGGGCTGTGCGCAGCGCGCGGGGCGGGGAGGGGCCGGGGCGGCGGCGGCGGCGGCGGCGGCGGCGGCGGCGGGGCGAGGACAAGGCGGTGGAGCGGCGGCGGCGCGCGCGCGCGCGCGCACTGGCTCCCCGCGCGCACTCGCGCCCGGCCCGGGAGGGGGCGCCGCGGCGGGAAGGCGGCGCGCGCTCGCCACGCCCACAGCCCGCCGCGCCCCCCGCCGCCGCCTCGGGAGGCACAAACAGCGCTCGCGCCGCCGGATCCCGGAGGCCGGGGTTAGCCAGGGCTTGGAAGCCTGCCGCCAGCCGCGCCCCCCGCCCCGTTTCGTTTATTCCCGAAACCTCCGACCCCATGGGGTGGAGGGTGGGGGTGGCTGCCGCGCCCCGGGGATGGAGTTAAGGGAAGGGGCTGCGCGCCTTGGTCCCCAATCGGTGTTGCACCGAGGGTCGTCAGGAAGGGACCCCAGGGCTGCTCGAGTTCCCATCCCCAGAGTGTCAGAGTTCCGTGGGTCAGGTTCTGCTGAAATTCGTGATCCGCTTCCCAGCAAGAGTTGATTGAACTCGCACCCCTCGAAAAGAAAAAACAGGCTACTAGGTGCTGGGCGTCTTTGTAGTCGGCGTTTACGCAATTGTCTTGACGGATCTGCAGATTGGGCGGGCAGTGTTATTCCCATTTTGCAAACATCTTCAAGTCCCAAAGACAGGGCAATGCGGGGCCAGGTTTCTAATTATGGGAGTGGAGGTAGGGGTGGACCTGCCCATCTCTTTTTAAAGTGGGGGGAGTGTTTTAACTCGGGGCCCTCTTACTACCAGGAAATAAAGTCCAGCTGGCTCCTTCACTGCCTCTGGGAAATACAATGCAGTAAAAGGAAATGCATATGATTTGCATTTGTCACAGTAAATGGGGAGGCAAGGTGTTGTAGGATAAGACGGTAGGGGTCCCAGCTCATCCACACACCAGGAGACCTCTCTGGGGTTCATAGGCAAAGTGCGGCAGGACAGTCCCTCTGACTGCAGAGGTGGGTTTACCTGAGATGAACTGTGTGGAGGCACACGCTTAGACTAGACAAACCCAATTTCAGGCAGAGGGTGGAGGGAAAAAAGTCCTGTGGTGGGGGCACTTTTGCACTCACGGAGCACCTTTAGAAACAATAGTAAAAGGTAGGTCCTCCCCTCATCTTTGAGAAGGGGGCAGTAACCCACTGCATCAGTAAGGAACTGGGCTGCCAGCAGGTGAGGGGGAGAAAAAGCGTCTCGCACTCCCCAGACAACTTTGGACTGAGGCGATTTTGCTCATTTTTTGCAGCAAAGCTCGTTGTTTCAGTCCATAGGACACCCTTCTGGTCGTACAGATCTTGGTTGGGTTGGGACAAGCTCACTTTCAATCACCTTGTAAAAGCGAATCATTTACTATGTATGCAGCCTTTGTACACACTCTTAGGAGGTTTAGATCAGCTCCCCCGGATCCAGCATTGCACTCACTTTCTTCACTCTTCCGTGTCCGGCTGGGCTGGATGGAAGCCAGCGCTATGAGGCGGTGGCTGGTACCAGAGCTCCCTAACCCTTCCAACTGAGGCGCCTGTAAGCCACATACAAGGGCCACCACCAAAATTATGGCCGTTTTAACCTCTGGCTTGAAGCACTTTAAAAATCTGTGCGACAGATATTAAAATACTCGCCTGCCAAATCCATCAGGAGGCGGTGACTCTCAAGCAAACTAAAGCAACTTCTGACTTCATTCACATCTGAGTCATGGTGCCAGGTCCCAAGGGCTGCAGACAGAGGAGAAATCCGCACGGTTTGTCTGCAACCACCCCAACTTTCTTAGGAGGAGGCTGCCAGCACCCAGCTCACAGGCTGCAGGAGGAGGCAGGGCTGCTGCTGGGGCCTCAGGCTGCACGCTGGGGTGGCTCCAGTCTTCGGAGGCTGAGGTGCGTGCCAGGTCGGAAAACAGCGCTGGACAGAACGTTCCTGTCTGGGCCTTTACTAAGTCCTCTCCAGTCCCTGCTGTTTTGTTTTGTTGTGTGTGTGTGTGTGTGTGTGTGTGTGTGTGTGTGTGTGTGTTCCCAATGCTCCCTTCCCTGCCTTTGGCCCAAGAAAAATGGAAAACAAATTGAGTGATTTATGAAGCTAAGCGCCATCTATCGGAATCGGTTGGGATAACTTCCCCACCCCCCACCTGCAAGGACATGCACCACTCGTCTATAATTTGGGCAATTTTGATTAAAGACCACGGTTATTTCCTGGAGGAATTAACGACCCGCTGCAAGGAGGGCTTTGGGTCATTAATTCTATACTCATTAAATTCCAGGAAATGGCCATCTTATGGGGAGGGTTTTTCTGGAGGGGGCACTGCAGGCATTAGAAAATGAGCACCTGGGAGGGCAGCATGGGCATCGCATTTGGCACTCCCCTTCCTCCCTCCCCACTCCGAAGCCCGGGTTGTAAAGGGTGCCCTGTGGCTTTGGGTTTCATCAGCGCCAGCCTGCATCCGTGCCTGTCTGGGGGTTGAGGGTTTGTGGCCAGCGGCAGGTGCATGGCTGGTGGAACACTCCCAGGAACGGGTTGGAAGGGCTGGAAGGAGAGCTGTGCTCAACGGCACACCAGGCTGGTGTGATTAATGCCACCCACGCCAGGCCTGACGTCAGGGGCTGGGCTGGGGGTGGATGTTTGTGTCCTTCTGCCTTTTCTCCCCTTCAATCTAGTTGACAGGTTAGATTCAGTGCCGGGTGCTGCTTGCCAAGGTCAGCGTGGCCAGCTGAGCTGCCTCGGCGTGGTGGCTTCAACATGTCTCCCAGGCACATTGAGGCCTGGGCTTCTTTAACGCCTTTCTGCTTTGAGCCCACTGGGTCCCCTCCACCAAATTACTCTGATCCACTCACCAGCGCTTGGCCTCTGGATGGACGCAGATCTGGAAGTGGGCTTGGGGAGTGGCTGAAGGCCTCACTGGGTCCTCTGCCCCCACCCCTGTCTGTGGCTGCTAAGAGTTTGTTACTTGACATTACATCCAATGGGAAACATTTTGGAAATAAACTTTCTTAAAGAGGAAAGGGTGAGCAAGTCCAGCTTCCCAATTTTCCTTTGCAAAGAACCAGAACCCGTGCTCATTGCTTTGGGGCTAGTTAGGCTCTGGGAACGTTTCTCCTGACACCGGTGGGGTGATGACATCGATGTGCACAGACAGATCATGCTGCAGACTTAGCTGTCATGGTCTTCAAGAACAGACTGCCAAGGCTCCTGGGAAAGTGCCTTAAGTGCTTCAAACCATGCTCTGCAAGATGACCACTTCCTCCAGAGAGAAGTCCTATCTCCACTTAGATCGTGAACCCGTCCCCTAAATCTCCCCACCCCCACTTCCTAGCAAAGTTGTTCATGCTTTTCGCAGACTCACATCACACCCTTACAGACTGGGCCGTCACACTGTACTGCGAATGTTTGTTTCCTTGGAGCCTCCCAGCACACTGCCAGACACACACATTGCATGTCCATCCAATGTCTGTTGGGAGAAGGAACCAATCCTGAAAGGATAACCAGTGGAAGCTGTGGACCCTGAAGCATCCAGAACTTTCTGACCCATTCTCTCTCTTCCTTCTCTCCCTCTCCCTTCCCATACCCAACAGTATCTGTAAAGGTCTTTATGAACAGCTGGAGTGTTTAGACCCCAGGGACTAGCCTAGTGGGAGGGCAGAAGTAGGTGGGGGTAATCCTATGAAGTTTCACTTTAAATACAGGTCAAAACTCTTGGATAGTTTAAAAAACAATAACTCTGTAGACCTTTCATTTCTACCCCCAGGCTCTTCAGAGCTCCTGGTAACTATGTTAACCCCTGGTCTCCAAACCCTGGAACTGTTGTCCGGACGTCGCTGGGACTAAGATTTAAACTGGTTATGGTTTATCTGATGCCTGGTTTCACTGTGATGGTCCCAGAGGAGCTCCAGCAGAGAACCCTCTGAACCCACACACATAATGGCAAACCTGGAGAAATCTGGTCCCCATCAAAGTGGGTTTCATCCATCGGCTGACCGACAGCGATGGTTTCTGCCCCAAATGCAAGCACAGTGGCTGTGCACACGCACCAGTCTCTGTTGCTGGGCACCCAAGGGCCACAGGGGATCATCTCATCTAACTCCCTAGTTCTACCAGAATTACCCAAAATGCCTGTCTGACTCACAAAGCTGGTGATGTGCAGGCATGTGTTTAAAGGTAGGCTCTCTCGTGGTGGTAGCCTTGACTTATAGTATGTGACAATTTTTTGTGATGGAAATGCCATCCTCTCTCCACCCCTGAAGTCAGGCTATCAACTTCATGTCTTTGAATGTAGTTAAGAGACACACAGTTATTTAGTATTTCCAACATAAAGACATAACATCAAGAGTAGAGGTAAGAGCAACATGTACTAAAATAATTAGTAACTGATGAGTTTTGGTTTATTCCCCCTTGTTTTTAATATCACTTAAAGTCAGCATGTTATAGTGCACAATTCAGTGGTTTTTTTTTTCTTCTTAGTATATTTACCAAATTGTGCAACCAGGATGGCTATCTAATTTTAGAACGTCATTACCTCAAAAAGAAACAGTATTTATTAGCAGTCACTTCTCGTCCCCCTAACCCTAATCTTTGACAACCATTAATCTACCATCTCTGAATTTGCCAATTTTGCACATTTCATAGAATTATACAATATGTGGCCTCTTGTGTTTGCCTTCTTTCACTTTGTATAATGTATTCAAAGTTCATCCATGTAGCATAGTAAGTAAGTCCCACCAAGCACTCTCGGCAGAACACAATGGTTCTCATCCATGATTTCAGAGAGAGGGTGAAAGAGAAACATCAATAATGAAAATCATTGATTAGCTGCCTCCTACACACCTCACACTGGGGATGGAGCCTGCAACCCAAGGATGTGTCCTGATTGGGTATCTAAC